CGACAGCACGGGCATTATTGTAAGACTGGGTGCGGGGAGTTGGTGTTATGGGGAGCAGGGTGCCATGTCATCGGGGAAGGTGAGTGAGTTACCGGAGAGGGTGTGGGCGTCAGGGGGGTGATGCCACACTCGCTCCGCACAGTGGCAGGAGAAGAGGGCACCGAGAGGTCATCTGAAACACAGAGGTCATAGGTCAAGAATAGCAGGTGTAAAAAGTTGAACTGCACTAAATGTTTTTTAAAGGTCCTAATACAAAATTGACTCTTGTTGAGCTTTAAGTCATATTATCTCTCTGTTACCTCCTCAAAAACACACCTGGAGTGAGCTTAAAATGCTCTGTTCCACCTTGTCATGTCATTAAGTGGTAGTTTAAAAGTAAACTAAAAGTTAGCCTTAGCTGGAGTACTCTGGACTAAAAAAAATATTAAAACTGAAATTTTGTTCAGATAATGCCACAAAAAGTGTTCCGGTGCATAGAGAAGCTAAGATATTACAACAAGGCTAAACAAATAGCTGTAGCTTTAAAGTTTGCAAATTCAAGGCCTGCAAATGATTCAAATGATTCTAGGGAAGGTGTATGGCATTTAAAAACACAGTGGAGCTCTTCTCGTATTACCACATGACATCACAAGGTGGAATAGTGGGTTTTTTTCTTTTTAAATTTGTACTAAATGTGCAGGGTTTGTGTGTGAAACACGTGTGAATGAAACAAAACACAAGTCCAGGTCTGCTCCAGTGTTGAGTAGTAACTGAATAAATGTACCGAGAATACATCATCAGAATACTTATTTTGAGAAACTGTATTCTGGTAAAGTTATTTTTTCATTTGGTAGTATTCAGAATACAGTTACTTTTCTAAAATTGAAGAATACAGTGCAGTACTTGATCACACACTTCAGGCTTCAAACTGCACAGAGAACAGAAAGCATCTCTCTTATGCAGGAGTTTGTTCTTCTCCAGTCAGCGAGAGAAAAAGCAGAAGAGTGACACAAATAAAAGCCTGATATAACTCAATGTTGTGTTTTTACAGTACAAATAAATGCAACTCTACGTGAAAGTATTCCAAGTATTCTTACTGGACCATGCCAACACATTACAAAATACAAAGTTTAAATTCAGGTGTTCAGTTTTGTGTGTTCTCTAAACTCTTTAAACACAAAGGTACAGCATGCTTCTTACCGCAGGTTTGATGGAGGTGTGGAGGTGTGGACAGGAGCTCAGTGTGGAGGAGCTCTGTGGGCTCCAGAGGGGCCTCGGCCATGGTCCCTGCAGCAGCTGTGAAGAGACACAACACTTCAGACAAAATACAGCATCTAGAAAGGCCTGTGTGTCAGATGCCCTCCCATCCTCTTGTATTCCTGCCTATCAGCTGCCCTCCCATCTTTAGTAAAGTACTAACACATGCTCAGATTTACCTTAAAAAAAGAGTGTAACAATATTATCTGAAGTACAAAGTTTATAGCTTATAATTTCCCAAATAAAAGTGCCAGCAGCAGTGCTTAGTAATAAAATAAAGATCTGTTTTCTGAACATACACAAACAGACCTGGAGTGTTTTGTTTCATTCACACGTGTTTAATACACAAATCCTGCACATTTAGGCTGAATTCTTCTCCCAAACTGAAAACATTCCATGTGATGTCATTAGGTGGTAATACAGGAAATGCTCCATTGTGTTGACCTACCTGCTGAGCTGCATTGACACTTTTGTTTGAACGTTTCTATCACTATTGTATTTTACTGCTTTATGTGCTTAAAGTGCCCCTCAGGACAAATAAAGTAACTGATTACTCCATACGTCTTCACTAGATTCATTTGGATGATTTCAGCCCTGGACTGGCCTGACTTTGAAGTTACAGCTAATGCTTTAGCCTCATTGAAACTGCTTCACTTCTCAGTGCACCAGCAAATATGACACTTTCTATTGACAATCTCAGCTGTGCAAAAGGTAAAACTAAAATATTCAAAAGTAAAAGCAATAACTGAAGGTTATTCTTGAATAGCTGTTCACTGTGAAACTACCACTTGAGACATCACAAAGTGGAACAGAATATTTGGAGCTTTGAAGATGCAGACAGTCTGATAATGCAGGGTTACTCAAACGTGTGTGAATGAAACAAAACACAACTATAGCTCTGATTTTTAGGAGGTAACAAATTTATAACATAACGTAAAGCTCAGAAGAGACAATTCTGAGTAATATAGGACCTTTAAAAGGAGCAGAGTGTAGTGTTCATTCATAATTTATAAGAGTAAATTCATATTTAATTTAAATAGGTAAAAAAACATTTTCATTTGATATAAATACATTTTATTGTATCTACGTAATAACAGGCTCCTTACTTTACTGTTACTTTAAGAACCTGAGACTCAAGGGTTTATGGGAAGAGTGCATTGATTTGTTGTTGTAAAGAGGCAGAAAATGTAAAATGCTTGTTAAAAAATGAACCAAAATCTGAAATTAAAAGTTGCCCAAAGCTAAAATGAATACCAGTCTTGTTGTTCATTTCGGGGTGCAACAAGAGCAGTCAGAGTTCAGAGCTACTGCAGAGCCTGTCTCCTGGTGGCTGGCGGGGCCCTTTGCGTCTGCACAGCCTGCTCATGCTCGGCCCTCATACGCCACTGCTCCTGCCCTGGCCCCGTTTGGAGGCTGGCTCCCGATTGGATGGTCATGATGTCACCGCTTCCACAACACACACACACACTCCTCACACTCTTCCTCACTGCTTATTTCACTTTTAAACAAATCCAAACTTCTACAGCTGCATGTGCCAAATGACACATGCACAGAGCTGCTACTAACTCATGGACATTGACTCACGTTTATCTAGTCACTTTTTGAAGAAACTGTACTTTTCACAATACTTTTCTACCACAATGATGATAAAAAAAAAACACTCTTTCTTTAGACAATAGAATGTGATTTTCAGCGTTAAATAGTGGAACTTTACCATGTGGCCTTACATGTGTGCAGTGTTGGGGAGTAACAGATTACATGTACCGAGTAACTGTATTCAGTTACAGTTACTGTTTCAGTGAGTGGTAAATGGATTACAGTTACTTTGTTGAAATAAATGGATTACATGGTGGTATTTTCCTGTTTTCACATTTTGGGCTATTTTTTTTTTTTTTTTCCAGTAATTCCACTCATTGCCAGACACTAAACCAGGTCTATACCAGGACTAAACCAGATCTAAACTAGGTCTAAACCAAGACAAAACCAGGTCTAAACCAGGTCTAAACCAGGACTAATTCAGGTCTAAATTCTGTCCAAACCAGGTCTAAACCAAGACTAAACCAGGACTAAAACCAGGTTTAAACCAGGTATAAACCAAGACTAAACCAGGTCTAAACCAGGTCTAAACTAGGTCTAAACCAAGACTAAATAAGGACTAAACCAGGTCTAAAACAGGATTTAACAGGACTAAATCATGCCGCGCGGACCGTGTCTCCTCGTCTTCTATCAATAATATTTTTAATTTGGTTCAGTAAAGTCTGGGCTTTTTTGTTGTCTTTTATCAGACAAAACATCTTATTTTACATTTCCTCGTCTTTGCTTCTCTACAGCAAATCAAGTAATCCAAAGTATTCAGATTAAATTACTCACTTTAAGTAATTTAATGGATTCCGTTACAAACTACATTTTGGGGTGTGTAATCTGTAATCTGTAGGGGAATACATTTTAAAAGTAACCTTCCCAACACTATATGTGTGTAATCCTTAGTGGTCCAGGTAGGTTCCATAGTGGTCCATGGGCGTAGTCTGTGTGCTCTTCTACAGCTCAACATCATTCTAAAGCTTCAAGGTTCTGCTCTGTCCTGTGAATGTGACTTTTTTAATAGTACCTGTATCTCATTTCACTCCTCATCAGTATTGATAAGTATCTGATCCTGAGTCTGTTCTTTGAAAATGTCAGATTTTGTGCTTTCTTTAAGATTTAGTCTTATAAAATGACATTCATTTCACATCATCAATTTTTTACTCTCACTTGAAACATTTCTTGGAGCACTACTTCATAACATTATTCTTACTTGAGTACTCTTTTTGGCAACTCTACCCACCTGTGTATGTGTAAAAGTACTGCACATGACAGCTGAGGCTCATGGTGCGCTCATCTTTCACAAAAGCTTTTCCCATCTCTGCTCAAACTACTGTACTAAAGAATGTTGTCTCCAAGCCAAAAGTAAGAAAATAAAAGTGTCACTCACCTCAAATCTTTTACTTTAAGTCCTGCTGTAAGACCTTCACTGTGATCTGAGTCTGAGCAGCTCTGAGGACACGACACGAGGAAGTCTTCAAAGAAATGCCTTGTTAGAAAGAAGGAAACGTCCAGCTGTGAATCACTTTCCAACCTGTATATCTCCTCTCTTTCTCCTCTGGCTCTCCTCTGGCTCTCCTCTGTTTCTCTTTTGGTTCTGGCTGTCCACTGGTTCTCCTCTGGTGCTGGGTCTCCTTTGGCTCTCCTTTGGCTGTCCTCTGATTCTGGCTCTCCTCTGGTTCTCGTCTGGGTCTTCTCTGGTTCTCCTTTGGCTCTGGTTCTCCTCTAGTTTCTGGCACTCCTTTTCTTGTTCTTCTCTAGTCCCTGGTCTCTTGCTCCCCTCTGGTTCTTTGCTGATCTCTGGTCTGTGGCTCTCCTCTGGCTCTCTTCTAGTTCTTCTCTAGTTCTTCTCTGGTTTGTGGTTCTCCCTTGGCTCTCCTCTGATTCTTCTCTGGTTCTAGCTCTCCTCTGGTTCTTCTCTTGTTCTTCTCTAGTCACTGGCTCTCCTCTTGCTCTCCTCTGGCTCTCCTCTGGCTCTCCTCTGGCTCTCCTCTGGTCTGTGGTGTGTGGCTCTCCTCTGGGTCTCCTCTGGGTCTCCTCTGGCTCTCCTCTGGCCTGTGGTGTGTGGCTCTCCTGTGGCTCTCCTGTGGCTCTCCTCTGGCTCTCCTCTATTCTGTGGTGTGTGGCTCTCCTCTGGCTCTCTTATGGCTCTGGACGGTCTCTCTGGACGGTGTGAGCACTGAGTTCACTCTACGCTGGAATGTGAGAGTGAGAGCCGAGACACCCACAGCAGTCGAAGGGGGAGGGGCTTAAGGAGGGGGCGGGGCTGAGGGAGGGCCCCAGAGCAGATTTGGTTGTGTTCATCAAAATCAGCCGAAAAAACATGAATCACTGAAATAAAGAAATCGTTTGACACACCACAGTTTGTACTTGAATATTATTCTTTGAAAGTAACACGGCCCTTACTTTTGTTATATGGACAAAATGTGTGTTTTTTACTCCTTTGAGACTGTGTGTTGTTTATTCTTCAGAAATAGGGCTGCACAACCTGAGGACCAGTGTTGTGCAAGTTCACACTTTTCATGAACTAGTTCAAAGTTCAGTTCACACTTGTTCAAAATGAATAGTTCACATTCATAGTTCACAATTTTAATTTTGAACTAGTTCAAAGTTCAGTTCATGTTATATTTAGGTGAGATCTGTAAATGAAAGGCTGCATTTATTTTAGACTAAACCAGGTCTAAATCAGGACTGAACCAGGTCTAAACCAGAACTGAACCAGGACTAAAAAAGAACTGAACCAGGACTGAACCAGGTCTAAACCAGGAATAAACCAAGACTAAACCAGGGCTGAACCAAAATTGAACCAGGTCTAAACCAAGACTAAACCAGGACTGAACCAAAATTGAACCAGGTCTAAACCAAGACTAAACCAGGACTGAACCAGAATTGAACCAGGTCTAAACCAGGACTGAACCAGGTCTAAACCAGAACTGAACCAGGACTAAACCAGGTCTAAACCAGGTCTAAACCAGGAATAAACCAAGACTAAACCAGGTCTAAACCAGGACTGAACCAGGACTGAACCAGGACTAAACCAGAACTGAACCAGGACTAAACCAGGACTAAACCAAGACTAAACCAGGACCAAACCAGGACTAATCCTGGACTAGAACTTGCAATCTAGGACCGCCCCTGAGAGAACCCCGAGTGCGATCGGGCGTCAGCTGCGTTTAGCTCTGTGGAGTGCGGACTTCTGCGTCGGTCCTTTCGCTCAGGATCACGGTCTACGCGGGCGCACCTCCGGCGTTTCACCACTGCTGATATCGCTGTGATTTTAGCAAATTTGTATGAAGAAAAACGAAAAACCCACCATTTCAATCCAGGTTAAAAAAGCATTGTGACGCGCGTTACTGACATATTTACCAAGTAAAATAATACGTGCAGCACGTCCTGTGCGTGTAGATTTCAGAAAATAGGATCCATCCTATTTTTTGACGCTCTACAAGAGCGTAGGCGCGTATCCCCGTCAAAATACACAGAGAGCATGTATCTGTTGTTGTATTTGTGCATTTACCATCAGCACATTGTGCTCCCTGGGCAGTTCTGTATCATGTGAAAGAGCCCAGATCCACATAGACTGTTAATTAGTGCTTTGAAATGTACTTTTGAAATCCTTGCGTTTGCCGTGGTCAGCCTGTACAGAAGGTAAAAACAAGCAGCTAAACGCGCCCAGTCAAGTTTGATTGACTTTCCCATTGAGAGACACAAGAGCCTGTACGTTCCGCTAAAGCTGCCGGTGGAGTCGCCTTCGCGTTGACACGCGACTGTGGTTTCGCGAGGTGAAGTGCTAGCAGATCGTCACTCGTCAAATTCCGACGTTTAACTGAACCCCAACAGTGACGTACGTCGTTCATCACACATAATTTGAACAAATTCACGTTCAAGTTCTTGATTTACAAAAGTGTTGCGTTCAGTTCAAAGTTCACTGAAAAATGAACGTGTTCAATGAACGCGTTCTTTTGAACTCGTTCATGCACAACACTGCTGAGGACACACACCAGTGTGTGATCACTGTGTTTCACACTTCAGTGTGTGTAAAAACACAAATGTGCACCCCTTCATTGAGTCACATGTGTTTCACTAAAAAGACTGAAGCTCAGGTCTGACCAGGTGCCTGCAGCAGCTGAGGAGACACCAGACACACTACAGCATCTGTGTGTCAGATGCCCTCCCAGTCTCTTAGATTTCAGTCGGTCAGGTGACCTCTCATCTTCCTGCCGTATATAAGATGTAATCTAAACATTACTTTACAATGGTTCAGAGAAAAAAAAAACAGTCATAATCATAAAATAAAAGTTGTGTAGTACAGAAATAGACGGTATAGGACTTGCTCACTGGTGAAGTCATTAAATGTTTCTACTGTAGATGAAACTTGTGGCTCTTGTCCCCATCTGGGATTATGCTACTGACACACTCTTGATTCCAGTGGTGAAGCGTGCGCGGTGCACGGAGAAGAAGTGAGGAGCTCCGGGGTGCTAAACCAGGACCAGGTTCTCTCTCGCTCTCTCACTTTCTCGCCCTCTCAAGTCCAAGATGAGACCTGGTTTAGTCCTGGTTTATACTTGGTTTAGTCCTGGTTCTGCTACAGATGCAGTTTGCTGCTTTGGCTGGTTCGCTCTCTGACTGTCCTATCACAGGTCTGAATCTGGTGACGTCGTTCGCTGCTAAAGGTCCTGGTGACACCAACTCAAAATCTGACTGGTTGAAGCAACAGATTTATGGACATTTATTTTGTATTCAAGGGCCTTCAGAACGGATTGTGAAGGCCTGAGGCAGACTTCTTTGACTTTGACTCTGCCTGGCAACAAGTGACAGCTGAAATGTGATTGGTTAAATGCTTTAATATAAAATACATGTCTGGAAGCAGCACAAACTTCAGAAAAGCTCTGAAAGGAAGCAGACAGAACATTTGGAATTATTTAATAATAATATCATTAACATCAGTCGGTGATTCTGATATTTTTTTAGACCAGCAGAGAAAGCCTTGCAGGCCCTGACGGCCCTCCACTGCTTGATTCCCATTGCACTGGAGTGATTAACTGCTCTTGTGGCTTCCTAGCTCACCCACTGAGCAGTTTTTGAAACTTTTTGTTTTTTGTGTTTTGAGTTTTCAGGTTTTAAATCATGAGATTTTCGGAGACTGATCAAGAGCCTTGTTAAGGAGCTAACTATGGACATTTGAGATGCTGCAGGCTTTTTACACCACATGTGGCAGAAGACGTCCCAGAGGAAACTCTTTATCATCACCAACCAAAACACCAGAGAGAAGTAAGAACGAGGCCTTTCCTGTTGTGTTCACCTGGTTCCCACTGGACACTGCTGTGATGCTGCAGGACACTGAGGAGGGACACTTCTGGCTCTTCCACAGGATCTACTGACCCTCCCTGACCAGTCCTCCTGTTAAACTGACCTGAGACCTCTGACTGAGACACAGCTCACACCGAGATGCGCAGTGGCAATTCTACAGCAAAACTACAACTGTTTGCTGCAGCAAAACCTTTTTCTCTGGATCAATAAAGTATCTGTCTGTGTGAGTGTCATGTAATGTAATGGGGTTATGTGAGAGCAGTGTGTCTCACAGGAGTCAGGATGCCCCAGGACTTCCTCCCTGTGTGGTGCTCCTCCTCTTCTGGTTTGGTCTGTGCCTGTGGTCTAGTCAGCGCTTCTCTAAAGTCTGATAAGAAGGAGCAGGGAGGAGGACTGCTGCTCAGGCATGGAGATCTTATGAACAAGACCCCTGAAGAATGTAGTTTGGGAGTCATGGCTCATGTGCATCATTCTGCGGCTCTTTAAACCTCACAAGAGTCCAACGCCCACCATCTGATAAAAGGAACTGTGAAGCTCCTGGTGGAACATGAGCTGTAGCCCACTTATGTTCAGTAAAATCAACCAGTGTGAGAAGAATCTGGACCAGTTTGCAATCCAAACCCAAAAATCTAAAATAACCCTAAAATTCATAAACCTTTAGTAGGACCTTCATAGGAATTCAGGCTGACCCTTTTTAAAACTCTAATTACAAGTCCTTAGGTCTCATCTTGAGTGAGATCTTCTTCAGTGTTGCGTGGGAATAGTCAAGATCCAACAAATGTTCAGTCTACTGTCTACTGGACGATCCCTCCAGACACCTACTATACTTGTTTTTATATTTAGACAAAATAATGAAATCTGCTGTTCCTCTGAGCTTGTTTTGCACTTATAAACTTATAATCATCAGGCTCTTGAGGAGATCACACTCTTATGGTGGTTTTCAGATTCTAGAAAGTGATGATGTCATACACTCAGGGGACAAGAGCCAGATTTCCCTCCTGATTCTATTGTACTTTACCATGAGATATCTAAATAGTAAACGCTCAAATGTTGGTATTAACTAAACTCAAGAATTCACTCTATTAACAACATTCTGCATTTTAACAATTTTAATTTTAGTTGCCCTCCATCTATATTAATTAACATAGGCCTATAGAATGCTGTGACGTCATCTGAAACTCAGCAATAATGAGCAATAATATGAGGAATAATCATCTTATAATGAGGAGGTCAGACTCTTAAAATAAGAGCATGTACATTAATGACTTTTCCCAGATTTGTTCATCTAATGTAATGTGTCAGATGTTCACTGAATATGTGGTTTTGTATGTTCCCTTTAAAAACAACAGCAAGCCTGTCAGGTGCACCGGACCTGTCAGGTGCACCGGGCCTGTCAGGTGCACCGGACCTGTCAGGTCAGGTGCACCTGACCTGTCAGGTGTTATGTCAGAGGGAACAAACTGGCTACAAAATTCATAATTACATTTTAGTATCTCAAAATCAGTTAGTATGTTTTTCCTCAAAAAACAACAACAACAATAACAACAAAACTGGCATGGATACAAACCCAGATGTATGTGGACTTGGAACAAAACTGAATCTGCTCCATGAAGTGAAGTATCTGGGAGTTCCACTGACCCCATAACTATCATTCACACAACATGTCAAAAGAACAGTGAATAAAATCAAATATAATTGATCACATTTTCATATAAGAAATAATCTAACAACAAACTCTGCAATGACATATTTAAATTCAGTGATTTTGTTGCACCTAAATTATTGCATTACTAGTTGGACTCTGACAAGCAAAGCTCCTCTTAAATGAGCTGAAACGATCTATCCAGCTAGAAAAAACACTTAAGGTATTAGA